AAAATTGAAGGACGATAACTCAAGAACCGGTTGACGTATTGTCGTGATTTTTGGTATGTAGGTAGTTGAAGTAATGCTTGACATAATCAGATGGCAATTATGCAAATCAAGAGCTAATTTGCATAATTAATGAGGAAATTCTATAAATCTGATTTGTTCGATAATAGAACTATGAAACAGTTGTGACATCTACATGAGAACGAGAAAAACATCTGAGGATATAGATTATGTACATGAGGACCTAATTTGAATAATTAATGGCAAATTCTTATAATTCCATAGTTGTAACTGCTGCACCCCGAATTTCATACTTGCCACATTTGGAAGTTAAGTGAAGGTGAACATCAATAAACATAATTTATTCAAATCATGACCTCATTTGCATAATTTATGAGGAAGTGCTATAATAGCCTTTTTGTTATGATAAGGCTGTCATTGGATGGAGAATATGATCAACTGATATAATCCATGCAAATGAGGCTCTTATTTACAAAATCAATGATTAAAATCGTAGACTTCGTCACCCGCAAGGGTTAACATTTTTTGGCGAAGGTATGAGATCGTGGAACTCTTGTTTGGCTCTGCAAGACTGGAGCAACATGGGATAGTGGTGTAGTTAAATTAATTGTACAGAAGTGAAGTTGCATCAAATATTTAGATCAATAGACCAAGTGTTACACTAATATGTAAGTCTCATTCTTGACTTATTAAATTATATACTGTTGATATTAGATGATAAAACTTTCTCAGTTGTTATATTTTCGTGCTACCACAAATTCATGACACTGCAAATATCTGTTTGTCTTGCTGATGTACTACAGAATTGCGAGAAGTGAACATCAAAAACATTTTCCCTCATACCACAAATTTAAAACCACTGCAAAAGTAGATGCATTTACAGTACTCCATGTAGTGTTCTTACTATGGGGCCAAAATATCAGTCTTCATGCTATATTCAATCTACCAGTGAAATGATATTAAAACATATATTGTTGTCTCCCCCACAGATGTAGCGATGGACTGGTCCGACCACGGCTTCTGGTGGCCGCAGAGGAACTCGTGGCTGCTGCGGACCCACTGGACGCTGGACAAGTGTGGCGTCCAGGCCGACGCCCAGCTGCACTTCACCCCCACCCACAAGAACCTGCGGGTCCAGCTCCCCGACCTGCAGCTCGTCGACCTGAAAGTCGACTTTTCCTACATGGCGTTCAACGCCATCATGTCTGTATGTGCCATGTTAGGTAAGTGGGAGAAACATTCAGGATGTAATTAGAAATTAATCTAGCAAGTGGATAAATTCTTAGTTAGCCTGGGTGCTAGACTGTTTCCATGGCCTACACAGGCCAGTTCCTAATTTGACCTGAAAGTCCATTTTTCCTACATGGCGTTCAATGCCGTCATGTCTGTATGTGCCATGTTAGGTGAGTGGAATGAACAACAACTTACTGATGGCTAAAATAACTGATTACGTTGTAGTTGTACTATGGAACGAATTTTACTTCATGTAATGTCCCAATAACAATTGAGTTCTTTGGCTGCCACGATTGGGATACTGTCTTTGACCAAATAAACAATTGATAACCTGCGTAGGAACGGCTGGAGGAAAAGGTCATGAACGTCTGTGAGACTCTCACAACCAGATCTGATGATGAATCAAGCAATTGGATAGATTCTTGGTTGGTTTAGTTTGTATTATGTTATGTTCTACTGTGGTAGCTAATAAGACATCTCGCCCTTTTCCAGGTATCCGCCATCCAGAGGAGTTGTCTTTCATGAAAAAGGTAGATGAACGGACTTTGAAACGGGGAGAAAAAAGAGGCAGCTTTAAAAAGAAGAAAGGCGAAAAGTACTCCTCGCCCGCTTCTTCCGCAAACAATAGTGATGCTTCCTACCCCACCACCCCCACACCCAGCATGATGGACGGGACCCATACGACGCCCAGAAGTGCGAGTATGCCCGGTAGCCCTTACAGATCCGCTCCCCACACACCGGGGACGCCGCTCACGCCGGGAACACCCAGCGGTTACAACACGTACCCCAGGGTACCCAGCTACAACGGAACCAGCCCTGTGTCGTCCAGCTACAGCCTGAGTTCCTTCCCAGACAGTCCTTACAGCGATGGGAGCAACCTGTCCGCCCTGTCCATTAGCCCGGCCAAGCCGTCTTCAGAAGCAGTCGCCACCCTGCACAGACCCAAGAACTACGTGGAGAGAGCCAGGCTAAATTCTTTGTAAGTATGGGTGGGGTTGGATGTGTTTCTCAACATCATAGTAACTTCCTAGTGCCATCCAATTTGCTACAAGGCTCCTTATATTCGCTGCCCGTAGTATAGGAGCCCCAATATGCAAATATGATGTCATCCAGGCTAGAACTTGCTACTTGTCCATGAAAATTTTATCGCAACAAGATTTGTGTTGCAAATGTCAACTCACTCACTCACTCATTCACTCACTGACTTTCTCACCCACTCACTCATCTCTGCATGCTGCTGGTGAAAGCATGTCACCTCAGAATGTGTCAACTGAAATAGAAAAATTAAAATTTGATATGGGTAGTTGCGATCATGAACATTAAGGATGTTTATGTATATGCCAGCTGGCATGTTTATTGATGTTTCATATGTCACCATGATATCCTTGAACACTCAACAGAAGTGTTCAATACTGCTATATAAGTGACCACGAAAAGTCCAGCACCCTCCTGGCAAGTGCCTTACCAGATGTCCCCTTTACCCCACATCTGAAACAAGGTCACAGGAGATGGGAGTATTTTTAGCTGGGTGATTCTGGAGTAACCAAGTTTGCCTATCTACTTCAGCAACTGGGGAGATAGTATTTGGGTCATTGCATGTAAAAGGAAGTTTGGCCCTGTGATATCAGACCAAGCCAAACCTTTGGTTGAGATCACTGGCCATGGCTAAATTAGTTATCAGATCAAGTTCAAAGCTTCCGCTCCATTTTGAGTTGAAACCTCTGCAGCTACTGCAGAATGTGGGGCAAAGGTTTTTGCTAGGGAAGCAAGATTTACGTTTCACGTCTGACCTTGGTTGGGGAGCTGTTGGAGCAAAGTGGCCCAGGGAGAAGGTCCTGGATGTGTGACAGGCTGGACAGGACCAGTGGTAGATAGACTTTTTTCAGTGTTCTGCAATATTGCAAAAATGTCAAAATTTTGTTCTGCAATTCAAAAACACTTCCTGCAAATACACAAGCCTCCTTACTGCAACCTTCTCAACCAATACAAAATAGGGACTACAGGTGGGTATTTGTAACACTGAGGATGCATAACATCCTGTCAGGACAGGTGGGGCAACAGGTTTCCACAGGTGTGCGCTGAGGTCATCAGATCTGTCCAGGTGGTTCTCTGCCGGTGTCAGGAAGCAATCACTCAAACACACAGTGTCTAAAACATGAGTTAGATAGATTATTCTCTGCAAACCCTCAATGACTGATGTAAAACTAAAGATTATCATAAGTAAGAAACTTAGTTGAATTAGCCTGACCAAATCGTGCTACTAGTCAGGTGACTTGAAGCCCAGGACAGTGAGAGCTTGTGTTACACATACACACTATAGTTGAATCATTTGCACCAATTTACTAAAGTGTTGCTTTCTTGAGTCACCCTAATCCCACTGCCCGACTAACACCTTTCATGTTACATGTGAGCTATACTATAGGGCCCGTCCAATCACTCCCCTACCATTAACGGTAATTGGTGCGTTTACCGGGCAGCAGGTGTGATAATTCCAGCACATGCCCTCACTCAGCGGGAAGATTTCGGCTTTACTTGCCACAGGAACAGGGAAGGAAACCTTGGATGTTTACCAAAATGTGGCCTATCGCATTTCATAACCCATCTGTATCAATCAGTCTAAACAATCTGAGGATATCTGGATTTTCATCAGACAGGTGGAAGATAGTGATAAAACTCTTCCTGGGAAATTTGGGTGTTCAGTTTCACATTTCTCCTTGACTCCCAGACTGGGTACCCTGAAGAAAACAAATTTACTGCTCTGCAGTCACCTTTTCGTCACGTACTGTTATTTGAGTTTCATTGATGAGGATAGAACATACATGATTCGAGGGTAACAGTCTTCAGGGACACTTAAAACAAAACCTGGATTGTAGTAAAGGTATTAAAGTACCAAACTTCAAGACATGAGTTCAAACCTCATCATCTTATTACTGGTAAAATATACACCTTCAGTAAGTAGTCTGGATGAATTCCTCAGGCCATAAGGCTGGATTGAGGCCATGTGTTACTCACTGGTGAAGAAAATTGATGTGGAAAAGGTCCCCTTGGAATCATTTTCAAGAGGGAGGAAGCAATTTTAGCCAATTAGTCGGCTTGTTATTGTGATCAGGACTGTTAAAAAGCTGCTAGATTGCCCCAGGCATGGAGGTGGGGATTTAGAGCCTTAATGATACCTTATAGATAACAGATTCAAAACATGTAAGACTAGTTTTAGATGGCCAAAGTGTCAGATTTTGTTCCTCTGAGCTCTGAACAGGGCAAGTTTGAGTTTTACTTTGAATCTCCACCTGGTTGATGTCTGTCAGTTGGGGTTGTCCCAGGAATGCTGGGGTCACCACAGGTCAAGTTCGAGATGAAATGTCTCGGCATTTCACAGTAGAGTCATTTTTTCAAATGTGAACTTTCTTTGGGAGAATTGATACACTAGTAGCAAAATAGCTCTGGATATGAGTGATGAATGATTTAGTCTTGATATACACAAGAGAACATACAGGTGCATTTGGTCAGCATGTACAGTTAACTATACAGCAGGCTTACATCCTATTGCTGAAGGGTCACCATCACAATTGTAGGGGACCTAGAAATGTGCAGGTTCAAAATAGGAAACTTGATTCATTCCACCTGTTGCAATGCATGAAATATGGGTTATCCACACCTTCTGGACATTTTCATCCTGCCGTTTGATATAATATTAGACTCCAGTGTTGTTCTCCATTATTGTTCTCCAAGCTAAATATTTTTGTCAAAAGATGAGGTAGTGTCTCCACCAGACCTACAGACCCAAACATCATCATGTGCTGGAATGACTGACTTCTGTAGAAAAGTCTAATCTCCAAGCAGATCCTATAATGGCAAGCAGTGTCTGTTGGCCAGAGGAGTGACCATTAGCCACTGTAGTATCTGCCTGGAGATTATGAAGGGAAAGGCTGCCACTGATCAGTTACTAGGTCATCAAGTAAGCCTCTTAGTCAGCAAAGCCACTGGTGAATTCCAGAACGGACCAAGTTCAGCTCAATCATACTAGAGGTCAGAGAGCACCATCTGGATACAATAATACAACATAAATCTGTATAATCCTCTTATAAAGCAGCAATAATGAAGGATCATTCCGGGGACCGTGCTCGCATGCCGCCAGTGAGGAGGCTGGTTAACTTCGAATTAAGAAACGTCTCTGATGTTATCCAGGACATCATTATGATGCTTGGAATATTTCGTTTCCCAGCTGTGGTCACATAATACAACAAGCCGTCATGGTGAAGCAAAACACAGGGCAAGTTCATGTCCTAGACATTTTAAAATCATATTGTTTTTGTGCTGTTTCCTCTTCTTATTCTTTTCTTCTCCAAACCAATAAGATCAATGACCTGAACTAGACATCTGGCACCATGGTAACTAGTATTGGGTTACATCATGTTACAATGTTATAGCGGGAGGGATTTAGACTCCTGTCTGACCATATATGAATGTGTTTGAGTAAGAATTAACAGAGCAGACCATATGCGAAGGTAAACATTATGCATCTGCAAATGCTACCTTTTTTTTTACATCCTGTATTTTTTGTGTGATATTTCCAGATGGCTGAACTCCTCTCGATCCTTGATGGAGCAGGGCATCCGAGAGAACGACATCATCTTGCTCAGGTTCAAGTACTACTCCTTCTTTGACCTGAACCCCAAGTACGACGCAGTCCGTATCAACCAGATCTACGAGCAGGCCAAGTGGTCGCTGCTGACGGAGGGGATCGAGTGTACGGAGGAGGAGGCCATGATGTTTGCAGCTTTACAGGTGGGTGGACCTGTGCACTTCTCTTGGCTTGGGGAGTCTGTTCCCCAGCATACACATGTCTACAGTACAACTACAAGTATAACAAGAGATGACAGACTTTACCTACGTATTCATTCAGCTTTGCAACCGTGCCAGTCCCACAGATAAAAACAGAAACATTGATGATGTTTGGCAACACTGCATTGTATATTACTGGGAATCTCACAAACATACAAAAAAGAGACACACAAGCCTCAAACAACACTTCACTCACTTGAAGTCAAGTTATTACAAATGAGAAATCTATAGAATTAATCTCTACTAAAAAAGTCTTAAATTTAAGTACAATATCTTTTCACTCAAGAAAACATCTATCGACTACAGCATCCCTGTGGATGGATGCCCTCTGCAGAGCAACTGATTAAAAGTTGGGTAGTGTCTGTCTAACTACTGATTGAAGGTGTTGTAATTGCATCTTGAAGTTTTGCAGTCGTCTAGACCTTGAGTGTTTGCATGCCACTCAGGAGACATCGGGGAGGGAAATGTGCATCAGTGGCTGACAGAAACTTAATTTGGGTCAGATTGGCAAGCAGCTTTGTAGATATGGGTGAAGACAGAAATTTGATTACAGGCGCAGCCAAATCACATTAGTCTCCTGGAAGTAAAGATAAATTTGGTTTTAATGTTGTCTGTTGTCGTTTTATCAATACACCTACGTGGGAAGTTTGGAGGAATTGGCAACCTTGCATCTTGTAAGGATGCAGTTGTCATGGCAATAAATGGAGATGAGATAACCTGCTGTTAGGAGTTTGGGGATTGGAAGTGAGCGTTTCATGATTGGGATGTAATTCTCTATTACTTAGATCTGGTTCTTGGACCAGACTGCATACCTAAACCCAATTTTAGGTTCAGGTCCGGATTCAAGTCCAGAGGTTTAGGTTCAGGTCCGGACTTGTAAGTCCAGACCTAAACCCATGGCTTATACAAAATTGCATGTTGGCAACCTTGCAATGTTGTCAGGGTGAAACTTTGGCCACATAACATGGAGGCCGGTACTTGACGATGCCCGATGGCAATGTTTTCTTCGTTTTGCAGCAAAGATTTTACAATCTACGGAAGGTTTTAGGTGGTTTGGAAAGGAGAGGGGTATGTGAAATGGTCTTTATGGTAATAAGTCCGGACTCGGTTCTTGACTTTTAGGTTTTTTTGGACTTGAACCTAAACATTCTTACAAGTCCGGATCCAAGTCCAGTGAACCGGTATGCATCACTAGGACCAGTTTGGGTCTTGTGAAATGGAGAGACAAATGCATTTGACACAGGAGACCCAGATCTATAAAAATTATATATATCAATAACTTTGATGCATTTGCTTATCAGCCATAAGTTAGGTAACAGATATTAAGTTTTCTTGGTAGAGAAGTGTTACATGCAAGGATGTACACTTGTTTGACTAAATATTGAAATATTGGAAAGTATTAGAAATAAGATTAATTTTCGTAATCCAGCATATTTTCCAATAGAACATAGTCAGTTATCGTAGTTGTACAACTTGAACCTATGTCACAACTGTTCCCAGATTTGTGAAAGCTGTCAGTCACCAACCCAAATCATTAGTAGATTAACACTCATCAACAGAGAGCAAAGATGTAAACATTGTAACTTGTTGAAAGATTGCTAGTTGGTTTGTATTCTTAGAGTGTCTGTGCCTCATTCAGTCTGTCAAACACCTTACAGAGATGTACCAAGATGGGGATTATCTGAAAATACGGGATTACCAACTCAAGGGAGGAGTTTATCTGCCAGGCTTTATATCCCAGTAGATGTGAATTAAGGTCAGGCTCTGGTGACCTGAAGTCCCACAAGACATGATTACTGAACAAAAACATGGTTAAAAAAGACATTCACGTTTGGAATAAGGATTCCCAGAGAAAATTGATCAGTTACACTACCAGTATAGTGGGAACTTTACGTTAAGGGCAAATATAGATATGGTTGGTATATAGAGTGCTACTGTGTACATTTACATTTCAGTAGGTTGCAGCCAACTTGAAAATTGGATTTTAAATTGCTTCTGTTCCTTTCAAACAGTCATTGTGTTAATTTTCATTCTACAGGTGTATTTTATATTACATCTGTAGTCAAGTGCAGAGGTATTTGTGCCATTAATTACAAATTGCCCAACAGATGAAGCTGTTCACTTTCATGAAAAATAAATGCCTAATCATCCCCGCAACAGAGACCTACTTTTGAATCCAATTTGAGATCAAATTTGAAAACGTTACTGTTATTCAATCAAGAATATTTACTTATTAAGCCTTCAAAAATTGGCAATTTATGTAATAGCCATTACTGCTGTATAGTACAGTAGGCATAATAAGTTCTTATCTTTAGATTGATCTAACAACTGATGTTTGTTGTTGCCTCTCCAGTTGCAAGTGAACCTGCAGTCGGCCATGCCGCAGCCAGACATGAATAACGCCAACGACTCTGCAGACGACATCGATGCAGCCCTTACCGATCTACAGGTGTCTCTGGAGGGGAGCGCAAAGAACTCTGCAGCCGTAAGTACAAGAAACTTTGAAACTTTATAATTTCGAATTACCAATAGAAGGGCCCACCTCTAGTCTTCCTGGTATTCATATGTACATTTATATACAGTTCTCGACACAGTTCCTACACAATGCCAATAACAAGTTCACTGTCTGAGGATGAAATATGAGTACAGACTGTCAATAGTCATGAAGTATGTATAAATGATGCATGAACAGTCTCTGCAGGGAGAAGATATCTGATCACTCTAAAAAGGAATTAAGCCTACATGTAGCTGTAAATGCATGTATCAAGTCATTACACTTTGCTATCTTAGATTGAAATATATGGTTGATGAATTATTCTATTATTTCATTTGGTAGATCATTTTGCAGAAGACAGAATGTCATCTAGTAGGAGCAATTGTAGTTAAACGATCACTATGAAAAGAGATCAATTGTAGATATAAAGACAGTTTGCTATCTTAGAGTAAAATATGGTTGATATCATACCATGAATTTCCCTGGGTAGCTCATTTGGAAGCAGATTCGACAGTTATGAAGGATGATGTTTGAATGATGTATGAGCCATTTTAGTAAGGAGGTCACTCTGAAGAGAAAAGAGATCAATTATTGTTATACGTACATCAGGTCATACTGAAACCATCTGGTATTGTTCAATATATTTATACTTATGAATGTCAGATGAACTATGTGTGAGGACCGATCCATTAGGAACATAAAGACCTGCCCTCTCATCCTGTCACGTTTTAGGTAATGATGATAGATTTTTGCCATATAATAGAAGTATCCGCACCTCCCATATTTAATTATAGAGGTTAGTCTTGCATGATGAGTCCCGTAGGAAAGACAGCATCCCTATTGATATCACATCATTTCCTGTTGTTTCCTTCTCCAGGGGGACATCACCCAGATACCAGAACTAGCAGACTGGCTCAGGTTCTTCAAGTAAGTCAAGCAACTTCTGTCCGAGAAGTTATATCCTTATGAAGGATGTAATGTTACAACAATTCTTGCCTATTCTGCTTGTTTGAATTTTTTGCTATCTTTTGCTTCCATCGTTCCAGCATAAAAATTACATCTTAACATCTGAAGCAATCTATAATATCTGATTCATACAGCAGGCAGAAAATAAAGAGGTCCTTAGAAACTCCCACTGTTCTGTACCCTTCCTTCGTGTTAACTTATATCCGTGACAAATAGAGCTGGAATTTCCTATATACAAGTACCTGGGACTCTTTGGAGATTACAGAGTATTGGATCTAATGATGTGATTAGTACTCATTACCAAAATCTTTGTCCAACATAACAATTCAGCATCCTAG